GAAATGCACAGAATCAATGGCAGGGGGGGAGGAAAGAATTTAAAGCCAATGATGTCATCACTCTGCTCGTCTCTGGGTTTCTTGGGAGGAGAAAAAAAAAGTCTTCTGCCATTCCCACTTTAAAAATAATCTTTAGATAAATCTGATTTCCTCTGGGGATATTTGGGGTGTTTAGATAAACTGCTCCATTTCTAAGGAGAGCTGTTTTGAACGCCTCTTATTTCATCTTGTGTAGTTATGACTGAGCCTCTTACTCGTGCAGAGGAAGGATTGTGCAATTTTAGCAAAGGATTTTCAGACTTACTCCACGTGTGAGTATTAAAATCTACCTCAGTCCCAGTCTATCTAAAACCTTGCACCCATTTAAAGGTCTACTGAGTTTTTTTAAATCTTGCTTTTGCCACAAATAAGTGGAGGCTCTTCTACAGGCAGTTTTCTTTTGGTTATAACCATTGGATTTTATGATCTTAAAGGTCTCTTCCAACCTAAAGGATTCTGTGATTTCAGGATTTCAGCTCCCACATGTGAACTGCAGCAGCACGTGTGACTTAATAATATGTGTGTTTTCTGAATATTTTAGGAATGATATATTATTTCATAGAATTATTTTCTTACATGCCAATAATACTTACTAGAATTGTGCAAGGCAGCCTGAAACACTCCTGGAATCACTCCAGAACTGCTCTCCAAAGGTTGTGCAGCAAATCTACCCTTGGAATTCATTGAAATCATGTTGATCAGGTGATTAGTTCATTTTCTTCACTTTCTTTATCTCTATTTATCTCTCATGTGGCGAAAACCTTTGAAGCTTTTTTTTTTGAAGAAATAAGCTGATGTATCAATGATTTTTCTACTTGTGGAATTTACCCACTGTGATGTTTTTACAAGCAATGTGCTGGCTGAGCAAAGTAAAGAACGTGTTCAAATTTCTCCAGGATCAACACAACAGCTTTTTTAAGATGCCTCTCTCTTCACTTAAATGGTGACTGTAAAGTTCTTTAAAATATTAACTGGAAGATATGGTTTCCTGAAGCTATGGTGTAATAATTGGAAATCAAATCATTTATATCTTAAAAAGCTTAAGCTGCAGAATGCATATTCCTACAGCAAAAATGCCTAGAAACTGTTCCTGAGTTTGACCAATAAAAAGGAGGAATTCTGCTGCAAAGGAAGAAAAGGAGGGAGAAAATATTGGCAAGTTGAAAAAAAAAAAAACCAATGTTGACCCAATATAACAATCACAAAATCTTTAATCTGCATTTGAAGAGCTCCCAGACCTTTTGGCTGGAATCTGCAAGGGTTTGAAATGCCACCCCAGTGCCCCAGAAGGGGCTGGTGCTCCTGGGCAGGCTGGTGGCCCACGGGGCTGTGGGACATTGAAATGGGCTTGGGGAAATTTGGCCAGCAGCCCCAGGGCAGTAGGTGCCACATGTTTGAGCTTTAACCTCCAGTGAGGTGTTAGAGCAACACTTCAGATTAAAATGTTTTCCTCTCAGTCAGAGGGTGAAGTCATTACCCTTGGTTAGGGCAGGAGCCTGGAACATCACAGGTTTCAAAGGCTTCAAACTTTTCACAGGATGCAGCTTTCTTTTCGATTTAAAATAAAACCAGCTGGAACCTGTTCCCTTCAACAGATGTATCTGATGGTAGCTGAGGAACAAATTGTGTATTACACCTATCCCAACCATCTGACCCCTGCCTGTGTTCTTCCTCCTTTGTTCTTGTTCTTTGCCCTTTGTTTCGTCCACATCAAGAATTTTTCTCAGCTCTTTGAGAGCTTCTCTGAGCAATAGCCACAGAAGAGTCACCCCATGAGTGGATCCCACTTTTCCCACTCCTTTGAAGAACACCACAACCAATACCAGCAAAAATAAGATGTCTCAGACATCACACTGCTGTGAGGCTTAGGATGAGAAAACTTCAGGGAGGGCTGGAAACAAGTGTAACATTCCACATGCAGTTCTCTGAGAGTATAAATCAATATCCTACCATGTAATGCACACAGAGAAGTGATGATGCCATCATATATTATGATATGTTATAATAATATCTATTCTATGATGATGTTACAGTCCACGTGGAGTTTCAGCTCCTTTTCCCCTGCAGCTCATATCAGATGGCAGAGCTGAGATCCCCCAATTCTTTGCTAAAGCCCTGCTCCAAACCAGGGCCAGGGTGTAACATCATGCCTCTGTCCCCCTCCTGCACCTCTTGCTTGCTTTCCCTCCTCCTGCTCCCTCTCAGATGCAAATATATACACCTTTATTTCCCTCTCATGCATATTCTATACATTACCAGTGGGATGCAGCCTTTCCTTTTTACAGGAGGAGTTCAGCACAGCACCTTTGGTCATGTGAGATCATTTTCTGTCTCTTTGAGAAAGCAATTTATAAGGGTCTTGACTGAGGAATGAAAGAAAGACTAAAGCAGTTCAGTGGAAATTATCTCCTTAATGGTGAAATCTGAATTATACATTAAAGTGCCATTTATTCAATGAATTTTATTATTCTGTTTAAAAAGCCAGAGACTTCTGTGCGTTTCCTATGCTTACAAAGGTTTATTAGCTTGAGTAAAAGGTTATTATTATTCAATTGAATAATTGAATTTTAAATTATTGGTGTTGCACTTCATATCCTAACGGCTTTTCCCGGCGCATTTAATTATGTCAAATTTGCCTTTTAATCCCCTGTCTGGAGACCGTTTTCTGGAATCCCTGCACTGCTTCTCACCCTCTGTAGCAGGATCCTAATGAGCAGGCACAGTCCATTCTCACTTCTTCTCCTCTCAACTGCCCTGCGTGCCTCTCCCAGTCACATCTCATCGGAGGCTATCCGGTGTCCTTTAATCCCGGGGACTGAGAGGTGGAAAAATCTTTCCAGGTGATTAATGCCACAAGCATCTCATTTTCCTGCGAGGCACTGTGGCAGGATTGCAGTGTTTACGTGGCTTAGGGGTAGGAGGTGGACACTTAGGAAAGTTAATAATCTGTGCCTGATCTCCTCCTAGAATTATCCGCTGCTGTTTCTATAAATAATCGCTGCTTGAGTTCTCGTGGCTAATTGGATCATGTATTAATGTATTAGAGGTATTGTTCATTAAAAATCTGGGAACTTTGCTATAAATCTCATTGGGTGAGAGATACTTGTAAAGCTACACGTAAAATATCTTTGGATTTGGAGCATACACTAAAGGAAATAAGTCACAAACTATCTGCTTTGGTATTTGTTTACTCGCTCTGGTTTTTGTTTGCCTAATGCTCAGGCAAATGTGTCCTTCAAAATGGTTTCTTGGTTGCTAGAAACATCAGATTTGTCCTTGACTGCACGCTTGGAAACTGCAATTCCTGAGCACAGCACTGAAATTCCCCATTAAGATAAAGAAGGATACACAAAACAACCCAACATCATAAAATATCAGGCTAGGCAGCCCCGGACTGGGACGTTCTGGGAGCACTGGTTTGTGGTCACTCCCTCCAGTCCCACACTGATAACGTCTGGGTGGCCAAAGGTGCCCTGTCTGCTGACACGTCCCTCTGAATGACTCCATTCTCTGCTCTCCCCAGGCTGCTTCTACCTCTGCTCAAGGGTTTGTCCCTTCGTCCAGGGGTTGTCCATTAACTTCACTAGGAGCAGGATCAGCCTTGGAGAGCCTTCCATCATTCTGAGCAAATTCTCTTTCAGAAAGCAATCGTTGATTCCTGAAGTTGGACACAGGGTAGGAAGCACTTCAGACGTAGCTTTGAATGCTCTTAATTAGCTGAGGAATTACAGGCTCATTCCTCTTTTACTCTGCCATTACAAGCATTTATCTCTACTGATTTCAACAGAGTTGCTTCTGTTTTACAAGGAACAGAAGGAAAAAAAAAAAACCAACCAGGGTGCATAAATTGTCCACAGCTCTTTCATGCTGCCTCTTTATTACCAGGAGAAACTTTGATGAAGGAGCCTCACAGGAGATCAATATGAGACACCACACAAGTCCTGACTTTCATGCTGCTGGCTGATACTGAAAATCACAGAAATAAGTCGTTGGTTTTTTTTGAAGCTCTCACTTCAGCTGCTGATTGGTTTGATGCTGCTTTTCCTGAAAGAACTATTTTACCTTTAGGAGCTGTCCTGCCTCCTGAGTGAAGTTACCCCAGGGGTCCCACTGCAGGGGCGTGGGGAAGGGGATGGAGTGGTGTTCATCTGGTAGTGAGCATCTTCATCTGCCAGCCTTCTTTTGAGGGAATAAGGACCCACGTTCGTTCCTCTGCTTCGTGTGGGTGCTGCTCCTGGAGGCTCCCCAGGAAAGGCTGCCTGGCTCAGGAGGGAACGAGGGGCTTTGGGGAACTTTGCGGGCTTCTCCCAAAGAATTAAGAAATCGCCTCATCGGCGGCGATCTTCACCTGGAATTTATAGAGGCTGACACAGAGCTGTGGGGTAAACAATAAATGGTATTGAACTGGCCAGTAATACACTATCTATGAGCTAATATAGCTCGGGATAGATCCAGTGCTGGAAGCAAATTAAACCTTTTCCTGGAGATCCACTTAGGGAGCAGCGGTTTCATCTGCGTATGGAGAAGTGAGCTGGAGTCAAAGTGCAACTGCAGCCACCTCCAGTAAATCCCATTTCTATTCACCTTCCCCCAGCCCAGCAGCTGGCAAAGAGACATTTCTGTGCTTTTAGTGCCTTTTCTTTTTTAGTGTTTTCTGTGCTTTTCTTGGCCTTTTTTGCTGCCTTAATTTGTTTCTGTCAAACGAGGAGCAAACGCGTTATCACGAGTTCGTTTGTTGGTGGTTTGTTTTTCCTAAGAAAACCCAAGCCCACCAACACCGAAGGTTACAGAGGTGGCTATTTTTAGAAACTTTCCTCTTCGCACGCTTAATTAAGAGCCTCATACTTTCCTTGCTCTCCTCCAGCTGTTCCCAAAGCCACCCACCCTCCTGGAAACCCGAGTGGCAATGCCTCCGCGGGAAGGAGCCCTGGACAGGCTTCCATCCCAAGCTCGGTGGAAGCTCAGTGGTTCTCCTTCCTCTCCCTGAGGTAGTTGAAGAGGACATCCAGCCCTCCCTCGACCAGTTGGGGCAGGGGCCGGGCCAAGGGGTTGTGGGCAACATGGAGACCTTTGTCCATGGGGTTCCAGGCGATGCGCGGCAGGCGCCTCAGCAGGTAGAGCTCCTCCGGGAGGCTCTGCAGGGCGTTGTAGTCCACGTTCAGCAGCTCCAGGGTGGTGAGGGAGCAGAGAGACCTCGGCAGGTTGCGTAGGATGTTGTTCTCCGCGATGAAGATCTGCAGGTTGACCAGGTACTGGATGCTCTCGGCGATGTTCTCCAGCCTGTTGGAGCCCAAGTGGAGGAAGTCCAAGCTCCTCAGCGCGTAGACGCAGAGGGGGATCTGCACCAGGCGGTTGTTGCTGAGGTTCAGCTTCTTCAGGTGGGTCAGGTCGGTGAAGCTCAAAGGCAGCTGGGAGATGCCGTTGTGCGAGAGGCTCAACACCTCCAGCTTCCTGCAGAGGCCGAGCTCCGCAGGCACTTCTGTCAGGCAGTTCATGTTGAGGAACAAGACCTTCAGGTTCCTCAGCAGCCCGATCTCTTTGGGCAGCCCCTTGAGGCGGTTGCCCCCTAGGTTCAGCACCACCAGCCTGTCCAGTTTGCCCAGGGAAGGAGGAATCGCCACCAGCTGGTTGCGGGAGAGGTTCAGTTTCTGCACCTCGGGCAGCCCCCACAAGAAGTCGGGGGTGCTGGTCATGCCTTTCATGATGAGGCTCAGGCTGACATAACGCAGCCCTCTCTTCAGCAGCGCCCTGGGCTCCTTCCCAGAGAGAAGAGCATCCTCCCAGGCGGGCAGCTTGGGACCTTTCCTCAGGAGACCCGCGCTCCTTCGCCGCTCGCTCTTGGAGTGCCCCGTGCCCATGGCACCCCGCAGCCCTCCCGGGAGATGGAGTTTTCTTCACCCACACAGAGGATGACAGGCTTTGGGAGGTGGGAAAGTCAAAGCAAGGAGACGAGGAGGAGCCTGGCGAGTGCATCTCAGTCCACGGGCGCCGTTTCCATAGCTGCCGAGGGAAAGCTGCACTTTTTGGGGGGCTGGTGTTGGTCCTGGTGCACGGTCTGTAATGAAATCCTTGCTCCTGACTTGTGAGCAAACCTGTTTGATTCAAACCCAACGCCAGTGGGCAGCTGTCCCTGTCATTTGGGCCGGGCTTTATTGGCCAGCTATGTATCTTCCCTGCAAAAAGGTCACAAGGATGCTGTATATAACTTCACCCTGTCAGCTTTCTTGGCTATCTGCTGCATACCATGGCTGCAGGACAATTAGCAAGAGGGACTTCCAAAAAAAAAAGAAAATGAGCCCACCCAAGCGAGCTGTGGAGGAAAACAAGCAAGGCAAGGAGCCGTTGCTTCAATTTGGATTTAAAGGAGGTTTTCATCATCGTTTTTGGTTCCAGGTTTCACTGAAAGAGTTATCAGTGCCCTAAAAAATTTCACATGCTGCAAAAATGTTGGTAAGGACTTTTCATGGAGTCTTCGTTTAGTTGAAAAAACCCAGAAACCACGTTCCTCTGCCCTGGGCTTTCTCCTCTGCCAACGAGATTTTGGGGGTCTGGGTCTTTGGTGCTGCAGAAGGTGCAGCTGCTCCACACCCCCGTGGACTTTCCTCTTTCTAGGGCTATTCTGGGGTGCAGGGGGACTAGCAGTGAAGTAGCCCCAGCTAGAAATGACATTCAGCTCTGGGATAGAGGGACTGATGGAGCTGAAGGAAGCAGGGAGGTACAATAATACCCACGACAGCTGAAGCTGGCTCTGCTGGTGGAAGGAAAATGCATTGCCACAGGAATATGCAGTGAGGTTAAGCTGTAAGGGACCCTAAAAAGGAGAGGCAAAGACATCAGGCACCGTGTAAACCAGGTGACAACTGCAGCAGGCAGCACAAGACTCTCAGGGCTCTTCCTCTCTAGCAGATCCATGGGGAAGGAGTTGCTCTGCTGCTGCCTGAGATGTTGGGTGATGGATGTACTCTCCCCAACACCTCGTTTCAGAGAGCATCAGCCTGGGACCCTGCAGCAGCCCAGATGCTGGAGGACCATGAGTGGGGCTGCAGGTGCTCCAGCACCATTGTTGGAGTCAAGCCCCACAGCCAAGCACCACTCAGTCTCTTTTCAGGGTTGGGTCCCTCGTAGAGCTGCACTTGTGTGGGAGGAGAGGGAGAGCAGGACTAGGGAAGAGATTGTACCTCTGGACTTAGCAGTGGTGAGGTCACACCTCGAATCCTGGGTTCTGTTTTGGGCCACTCACTCCAAGAAGGACGTTGAGTGGCTGCAGTGCATCCACAGAAGGGTGATGAAGCTGGGGAAGGGTCTAGAGCCCAAGTGGGGGGAGGAGCAGCTGAGATGCTGAGCCTGGAGCAAAGGAGGCTCAGGGGAGACCTTCTGGATGGTGACAACTTCCTGGCAGGAGGCTGGAGCCAGGTGGAGGTCAGTCTCTTCTCCCAAGGAACAGTGATAAGACAAGAGGAAACAGCCTCAAGTTGAACCAGGGGAGGCTCACGTTGGACAGGAGGAAAATGTCTTCCCTGAAAGGGCTGTCAAGCCCTGGCAGAGTCTGCCCCGGGCAGTGGTGGAGTCCCCACCCCTGGAGGGGTTTCCAAGCTGTGGAGATGTGGGGTGAGGGACACGGGGCAGTGGGGACCTGGCAGTGCTGGGGGAATGGTTGGACTCAGTGGTCTTAAAGGTCTCTTCCAACCAAAACAATTGTATGCCTCTGTGTTTTCTGGGGAACAGGAGCCATCTCTGCTCGTGTCTCGTGCAGCAGAAACCCAGCAGCAGGCCAAAACTGGGCCAGATTTGCCTTTTCATGACAGGAGAACCTAAGGCTAAAATGTAAGCCCTCAGCCCAAGCAGGTGGAGAAGCAGAAGTGAGAGCCTCTCATGGGTCCTGGTCTGGGCTCTCTGCCCAGCTGCTGTTAAAAATGCTCCTCTTCCCAAACAGCCAACATGGATCTGCAGCAGATATTCCCTGCTGCTCAGCCTGGAGGGGAGAAGCCTCAGAGGGGATCTGAGCAGTGCTGAGCAAGAGCTAAAGGGCCCCAGGGGGGCAAGAGGCTGGGGCCAGACTCTGTCAGTGGTGCCCAGAGACAGGACAAGAGGCAACGGGCACCAACTGGCACCCAGGAGGTGCCACCTGAGCAGGAGGAGAAACTTCTTTGCTGGGAGGGTGCAAGAGCCTGGAGCAGCTGCCCAGAGGGGGCGTAGAGCCTGTGGAGTCTCCTGCTCTGGAGAGATCCCAAACCCTCCTGGCTGTGACCCTGGGCACCCTGCTGGGGGTGAGCTGCTGGAGCAGGGGGTGGATGAGATGATCTCCAGAGGTCCCTCCCCACCCCACCATGCTGGGGTTCTGTGGTTCTGCAGTGGCAAGCACAAAGAGAAGACAAAAGCCTTGCAGAGAGCATTCCCAAAGTTTGCCATTTCCCTCCTTTCAATGCCACTGCTGGGAGAGGAACCTGCTGCAGCCCTGCCCAGCATCCCTCCCCAAGGCTGGGCTCACAAGTGTGGTCACTTCAGACCTCTTCCTTCTGGAGGTCCCATTTAGGGACGACCAAAACACAAAGGGATCCCAGCCTCCCTGTGGCCACACACTCCCTGTTGGCTGGCCAGGTATTTTTGGAGGAGAACATCATCCTCATCTCCAAAACTCATTCGAGCTCCATGCCTGGGGACCTGGCAGGGCTTGGTGTGGGCGCTGGGCACAGAAATCCTCAGTTCCTGCTGGTGTGACTCAACGTGCTCTGTCCCTGCCCTGGATTTCATCACCCACCGGTTCCACACGAAGCCTGGGCTGTGTTGGAGAGCTTCACCCAGGGCTCTCTAACAAACAGGACCTCTCACCCTGCCTCAGCTCCCCCAGCACCTCCTTCTGTCACCCTCCTGCTCTCACTGCCCGTGTGGCAGCAGAAAAAAAAAGGGGATTTAAAAAAGAAATCCCACATCTGCCCCTTCCATTGTCCGGGTCCCTTCCTGCCTCCCGAGCAGCAGGGGAAACACCCGTTTCCTCTGCTTTGTTCTCCACCAGGGGAACGGGGTCTTGGGCACGCTGGTGGCTGTGGAAACTCTGAGGTAACCCAATTCAATGCCTTTCTTGAAGCTGAGATGATAAAACCACAGTGGCCTCATCTGGACATCTCAGGAACTAAATTCCTGAACAAAATGAGTCCTTTATCTGTTGGTGTCCTGGGTTGGTTTTGTTCAGATGCTTTCCAGCTCCCTTTAGGTCACCCACTGGGCCATGCTGGGGGGTTGGCTGGGCATTAGGAAGAACTTTTTTCACTGAAGGGGTTGCCCAGGGCTGTGCCAGGCTGCCCAGGGCAGTGGTGGAGTCCCCACCCCTGGAGGGGTTCCCAAGCTGTGGAGATGTGGTGTGAGGGACGTGGCTTAGAGATGGACTTGGTGGAGTAGGGTTAATGCTTGGGTTTGATGATCTTGGAGGTCATTTCCAACCAAAGTGATTCTGTGATGGATTGATTCCTTTGGGCCAGTGAAATGCTGGCAGAAAGCAGAAATGAGTTCCATGGATGCAAGAGTTTGGCAGGAGAAAAAAACCAACCCAAGCCCCAAATGGGTGGGATTTACATGACCCAGTGTGGCTGATCCTTGCTTCATGGATTAACAAAACCATCCGTGTGGGGAAAAAATGACCCAAAATGTGCTGAATAACTTTGTCGTCTAATTAATAAAATAAGAGAAATGACACAGTTAATAATGATTAAAAAAAATAGTAAGCTGACAAAAATGACAAGCTGTGTTTTCTGACCAGGCTTTTTTTTTGGAAGGAAGCAGGTTTATCAGCTCTGGAAAAAAAAACACTTGAAGAGGAGTTCC